AAACCAAAAACCCAAACCAAAAACCCAAACCAAAAACCCAAACCAAAAACCCAAACCAAAAACCCAAACCAAAAACCCAAACCAAAAACCCAAACCAAAAACCCAAACCAAAAACCCAAACCAAAAACCCAAACCAAAAACCCAAACCAAAAACCCAAACCAAAAACCCAAACCAAAAACCCAAACCAAAAACCCAAACCAAAAACCCAAACCAAAAACCCAAACCAAAAACCCAAACCAAAAACCCAAACCAAAAACCCAAACCAAAAACCCAAACCAAAAACCCAAACCAAAAACCCAAACCAAAAACCCAAACCAAAAACCCAAACCAAAAACCCAAACCAAAAACCCAAACCAAAAACCCAAACCAAAAACCCAAACCAAAAACCCAAACCAAAAACCCAAACCAAAAACCCAAACCAAAAACCCAAACCAAAAACCCAAACCAAAAACCCAAACCAAAAACCCAAACCAAAAACCCAAACCAAAAACCCAAACCAAAAACCCAAACCAAAAACCCAAACCAAAAACCCAAACCAAAAACCCAAACCAAAAACCCAAACCAAAAACCCAAACCAAAAACCCAAACCAAAAACCCAAACCAAAAACCCAAACCAAAAACCCAAACCAAAAACCCAAACCAAAAACCCAAACCAAAAACCCAAACCAAAAACCCAAACCAAAAACCCAAACCAAAAACCCAAACCAAAAACCCAAACCAAAAACCCAAACCAAAAACCCAAACCAAAAACCCAAACCAAAAACCCAAACCAAAAACCCAAACCAAAAACCCAAACCAAAAACCCAAACCAAAAACCCAAACCAAAAACCCAAACCAAAAACCCAAACCAAAAACCCAAACCAAAAACCCAAACCAAAAACCCAAACCAAAAACCCAAACCAAAAACCCAAACCAAAAACCCAAACCAAAAACCCAAACCAAAAACCCAAACCAAAAACCCAAACCAAAAACCCAAACCAAAAACCCAAACCAAAAACCCAAACCAAAAACCCAAACCAAAAACCCAAACCAAAAACCCAAACCAAAAACCCAAACCAAAAACCCAAACCAAAAACCCAAACCAAAAACCCAAACCAAAAACCCAAACCAAAAACCCAAACCAAAAACCCAAACCAAAAACCCAAACCAAAAACCCAAGCCAAAAACCCAAACCAAAAACCCAAGCCAAAAACCCAAACCAAAAACCCAAACCAAAAACCCAAACCAAAAACCCGAACCAAAAACCCAAACCAAAACCAAACCAGACCCAAACTAAACCCAAACCCAAACCAAGCCCAAACCAGGCCCGGACTGCTTCAAGACCAGGAGCCCCCCCGGGGTCGGGGAGCCCTCGCGACTACATTCCACACGCGGCCGCGGTCGGCTTTGATTTCGCTCAGGCGAGGCTATCCCCGCAACGAAATGAAGCCGGCGGGAGTCTTGTCGGCGAGGGGTCGAAGGTGTCCAAATTTGATCAATCTGGGGGCTTTTTCTCTGTCATTTTGGAGACTGACACTTCAAGACGGCCCCAAACTGCCGCAGGAATATAGCGAAAATCATAACGGGCGCCGGACTGCTTCGGGACCGCGGGCCCCCTTGGAGCCGCCCCGAGGCCTCTGCGGCAGCCCGATCGGGGCCCACGGGTGAGCCTTCTCCAAGCTTCTCGGAAAGCCCCCGCGCCACCGCCTGGGAGGCGGGGGCAGAGCCCGCCGGAGCCGCCTCGTGAAGCCTCCGGCAGGCTCGGAAGAGGCCGCCGCCGAAGCCCTGCGCGGGGCTACGTTCTTAAACGCCGGGCGGGGGCATTTGGATCAAATTAGAGCTGGGCCAGTGTCATCAAACGGGCACCGAAGCCGCCCAGGAAGCAGGCTGAAAACAACAAGCCAAAGGCTTTGACTTGAAAAAAAACAAAGCACGAAAAAAAAAAAAAAGCGACTTGGGAGAGACAAAGGAAGCCCGAGAGGCTTGCGGGGCTTCCCTTTTCCCGGAAATTACGCAACGAGAATAAAAACTAATGCGCCTGGGCACGCGGAAACCTTAGGGGCTTGAGTGGTTTCCTTTTCTCCCTGAAATTACGAGACGAGGACAGCCATCAATGCCCTCGGGCATAGTCCCGGAGGTTTTGGGTTGACTCTAGTCAGAGGAGGCCTGAGAGGTTTGCGGGGTTTGCTTCTTTTTTCCTAAAATTACGCAACGAAGGTAACCACGAATGCCCCCGGGCACAGCCCCGGAGGTTTTGGGTTGACTCTGGGAGGGCGGCCTGGCGTCGCTGCTCGGTTCTGCCCTTCGTGGAGTCCAGTGCCGCGGGCAAGCTAATTAATCGGCCGCAAATGGCACCACTGGCCGCAAGTTGAGAGCTTGCCAGAATCCGGCCCGATGTGGGACTGCCAAAGCATCCAGCGGCGTGGCCGCTGCCTGCCTTGATGGCGCCGCTCTCGTGCCACCCTTGCCCAAGGCCTTCGCGATATAGTGACCCAAATGCACCGCCAAGAGATGCCCGCCCTCTGTCCCGGGATCGCTGCCCCGCGTGCCAGCGTTGGCACGCCAGCGGTTCCCCCTGGACTCGAATACGGTGCCGGATACTATCTAACAGCCATCGCCGCGACTTTCTTCCCAAGGACATAAATCGCGGCACTGCTCTACCTACAGGCATGCCAGGCCATGCCTTGCCTTGAAGTCCGGGCGGCGGTTTGCGCCGTTTTTGGCGCATGAAGCCCCCAGCCCTGGGGTGCTCCGGCTGGCAATAAATCCGCGAAGCTTTTGCCATTTTTCCAAGTGGTGCGCTAGTTGTTTCCGTCTCTCTTGTTTTAGTATTTCCCTCCATTGGTTCTGACTTGCGCTTACCTGCTGACACTTGACCAAGGCGAAAAAACCGCCAAGAGCTGCAGAAAAAGCTGCAGGAGAGCGGGGGGGCTTTACAATGATACGAACGCGCAACGGGTCGGCAGTCCCGGCCTGCGCGTGCGCAGGTCCAGAAACAGACCAGCGGGCCCGCGGGATGCTGAAAAAGCCGAGACCACGCCCCGCCCGGCGCCACAGGGGGGGGCGCGAGGAGGCACGAGGAGCAAACGGGGGAACGCAGCCGACGCGAAACCGATAAGCAGACGCCAGAAAAGCACAGAAAAGGAAAGAAGGCAACACGCGAAACCGATAGCAAAAGGGACGGCGCAAGAGCAAACCGCGGCCACGCCTTGAGCAAGACCGGGGGAAGCACATGAAGAAAAACGGAGGCAGTGAAATCTAAAAGGAAACCGAGGCAGCGCCGTCCCTTAGCGGTTTCGCGTAAGAGTTTCGCGGGGCCAGAATGTACGGCGACAAAGTGTAGCATCTCTGCCCAAGTGGGAAGAGCACCCTGCCCGCCATTATGAGAACGAAAGCCGGCGAGGACAAGAGTAACAAAGTGGGGAGGCTTGATAAAGTAGGAGCGTGCCCAAATATGGCACGGCCCCACTCAGTGACCTCCTACATTGACACCACTGCAGTCATAGACTGGCCAGCCTCCGCGCGCAGGGCCTGCCTCTGAGTCAAGTGACAGAAAAGCCACAACCCCCCCGGGATATTTTGCGACTTGCTTAGTGTTCTCCATATACAGAGACGACAAGACCCCTGCAGGAGCTATGAGCCCCTTACCCTATTACCAACGTAGCCGCGGGGCCCCTGTCATTTCCTCACCAGATAGTTAGTCAACTTATGCCACCCTAGTCCCCTTCTAGTTTTGATGTTTAAGAGTAGCGCTCTTTCACTTTTTGGCTTTTAATCAGAGGCAGAAAGTTAACGCAAATTAGTTTCATGTAGGCAAGACCAAGATCAACCAAGATCCAGATCGAGTTTGTGACGAATCACCATAAGGATCCACCCGAATCCCTATGTTGCTGGTTCTGATTTCAGTCGTTCCCGCCTATGTTCCCTGGTCCTTCGTATGTTCCTCCCATGGTATGAAGATCCCCACCAGAATGACAAACCGCACCAAGGTCCCAACGGTTCCCAGGTTCCCCGAGTAGTTTCATCATCATCATCATCATCATCATCATCATCATCATCATCATCCTAGTAGTAGTCACCATCTTCATGCGTATCCTAGTGGTAACCGTGTCATCTCTCTCACCCGCAGGCTGGTAATAGTGACCCGAGTAATTTCCCTGACTTGCATGCGCGTGGTAGTGGTTTCCAGTGTGTTCATTCTAGTGGTGTAAATGTTTGGTCGGTATTCAGTCGGTGGACATTGCTAGCATTCTATTGCCATCCTTTTTCGCCTTTGTATGTTTGCAGTAGTAGGGTAGCAGTACTAGGCAGCTAAAATTTTCGCATTCGTTCAACAGTCTGAAGAATGGCAGGAGACGAAACAGGTGGAGGAGAGCCGCCAGCCCCACCAAGTACCGAAACAATGGCGCCCCCTAGGCCAATTGTTCTGCCCGAGATTACGCAGAAGGAAGAATGGCTTGCTTGGTTGGAGCATGTGTTAACGGTGGCGGACGCCCACGGTCCGGACACCCTTTCGACCAAGATCCAGCAGGATCTGGCCGGTACAGAAGTAGAGTGGAGCTTAAACGAAAGCAACACGCTACGCAGACTCGCAATGGGCCCTCCAGGCGCTGTTCGAGGTAAACAGTTACAAGCTGCTACGACCACCACGCTTATGGCAAAGTTGAAGAAACTGCATAAGCGTTGCACCGAGGCAACAGAACACGCACGCATGAGCAGCATTGAGTCTTTGGTAGACTCGGCGAAGCAACCGGAAGAAACAGTCGATGCATTCATCGGCAGGAAGGAGGCCATCTTGCGTGATGAGCTCGGTGGTGAAGTAGATGCTCAAGAGCTCCCACGTTTCGGGATCTTCTACCGCCTAGGAAGATCTCAAATGATCCCTCATGTTATCGGTGGATCGAAAGGAACAGAAGAACTGAGGACCTATGCTCGTGAGTATGAAGAGCATTTCCGGTCGCAGGGCGAAGACGACAGTCACGCAAAGACGTCGGCCGCCGGTACAACGACCAACAACAAGAAGGCCCAACAAGAAGAAGCTGGCGGCGCTTTTGTGTCAAGGGATGAGTTGAAAAGTTTGGTATGTGGTGCCATCAATACTCAGACGCAGAAGCAAAACGCGAGAGCTTTGCTTTCCGGTGGTAACCCTTGGCAGGTACGTAAGCCCTTCGAAAAGAAGAAAGGCAAAGGTAAAGGTAAAGGAAAGCGCGGCAAAGACAGCAACACATCCGCCGGAGGATGGGTAGAACCAGCACAGCGAACCTGTCACCTGTGTGGCAAGAAGGGGCACATGCGCGCTGCATGTCCTCAGGCGGGAGGAAAGAAGTGAGCAACTTCTTTCCTGGTAGAACAAGATGAAAATCTTGGCAAAGATGCTGCTTTAGGCAGTGCTGAACAAGAAGGCCAAAGAGGAGAAGACCAAAGCAAAGAGGAGGAAGAAGAAGAAGACGCAGAGCATCACGAAGAAACATTTGCTCTGAAGAAGAAAGCTCGTTGTAGCTTGCATTTGAATGAGTATTATCCTGCATCCAAAGAACAACAAAAGACCGTAAGTAAGTATTTGCAACAAGCAAGTAAAGTAAGTAATTTGCATTCAGACCGTAAAAGAAGCAGCTTAAGTAACTTGCAACCAGAACAAGAACAAAGAAAAGTAGCGAGCTTGTGCTCGGTTTTCAGCGGCACCCAAGAAGGTGACCGGGCATCCACTTCAGAAGAAAAGAAGGCGGACGGCGCTGCTGTTGTCACGAACGAAACAGCAGCAGCAGCGTATACATCGACCCTGCATATTCAGGACGATGGTAAAGAAGAAAAACAACAACAACAAAACAAAGGAGATTCTGCACTGTTTTCAAAGAATAAGGATTATCGTCTGCATTTAAGTGGTGAGATAGATAGTAAGAGTAATGACGACGGTGAAGGTAATGACGATGAAGATGATGGTAGTTGTTTTCTTGGTGGTGTTTCCAAGAGAAGGAAAGTAAACACTGTGGTCCCCTGTGTTTGTGACAGTGGTGCTTCGCACCACATGAGTGGCGATAGAAGCCTTTTTAAGTGTGTGTACCCCGCACAGCGCGTCAAGCTAAATGTGGCGGACAGAGCACTTTCACGCCCCGCCGTGAAAGGTATCTTCAAAGAGAATTCCTCGGGGCTCACGGTTGGCCTTTTCCACCAGGAGCTTACTCGGATGCTAGTCAGATCAGTGCTGACGCACTAAACGAGGACGGTTGCAGAGTCGCTCCCGATAAACCAGAGTCGCATATCCTGCGTAAGGCTTCTGGTTGGTGTGTTCCCGTATACAACGAAACCCAAACAGGCCTACCTGTGGTAGACGTTGACTTCTACAAGAAGATAGAGTCAGCTTCGGCTAGCCCAGCTAAGGTTCAGGAGGGGGCTTCGGCTTCACTCTCCGCTGCGGCTAAGCTTAGGGCCCATCAGCAGTGTGGACATCTTTTCGCCCCAGGTCTAGTAGTCGATAAATGTCACGAGTGCAACACGTCAAAAGTTAGGGCTTCTGGCGCTGGTGAGCGGCCTGCTCATACGGTGGCGACCAAATTCAGTGAGAATGTAGACTGTGATTTTACAGGACAGCACCCCCGTGCTGTTACTGGTGAGATCTGGCGTCTGTCTATGATAGGTCAGCAACTAGGTTGGCCAGAAAACTACGCATCGAAAGCTAAAGATGAGTGCCATCTTGGTCTCCGACGGTGGATCAGAGACAGCAAACAGATGAAAGCCGTTCGCAATGACAACGAGCCTGCTTTCAAGGGTGAAAGATCTCGCTGGCGTCTGTTTTGTGCAAAGCAAGTCCCACCAATTCGCGCTGAGTATAGTGCAGTATACACCCCACGGCGTAATAGCATCGTAGACAGATGGAATCAGACTTCGCAAAACGCGATCCGTACAAACCTCATCGGAGTCGACAACAGAGTCTGGTCTTGGTGCGCAGAAGACTACGTGCCTCACGTTTATCAGAGACTACCTAGAAGGGACGGAGTGAGCGTCTTTGCGAAACGTTACGGCAGGAAGCCCCCTACGAAGCACTTCCGTCGTTTTGGGTGTTTGGGTTTTGCAAAGATTCACGTAGCAACTTCGAGTAAGTTGGCCCCCAGAGCCGCGCGCGGTATATTTCTAGGATATTCGCGTAGTTCGTATTTCTTGGTAGGTGTCTGGAGGGAGGATAATCGAACAGCCCTCGGCATGAAGTTTTCCGCCATTGAGAACAGAGCTGCTCGATTTGATGAGTCTGTCTTGATTTCCAACGTCGACGACTTAAAACCCGATAAGGAGGGAGTATTTGTGAAGTATCCCGACTACAAGCAGCTTGAAGAAGTAAATATATCCCCTGAGGATGTTCTTGGTGTTGCTCCTCGGGTGCCTGACGATCCTAGTGTGGCTCCTACCGGATCTGATCACCTGGATAGTCGATCGAATATTTTGGGTTCTGTCTGCTCTGGTCATCGACCTCGGGGGCCTCCGGGGGTAGTTAGAAGCACCAAGAAAGAAGCACCGCTTAAAGAGTTAAAAAAAGAGTAAGTCTGCACTAGAATACGCATACAAATAACTGTAGTTGGTCGACCGTGGTGCTCGGAATAGTCAAGAGAGCTCCCAACATCTTCGTTTGTGTTAACTTGAATCAAAACCGCTTGGCGTCTCGTTTTTGACTTGTTTAAACACCGAACCCACCGAAGGGGATAACTACCCCCCTAACGCATATTTTTGACCTCTTTTCTTGGTAGTTAACAACAAACAAGCATCATTGTTTTCAGTAACACCACCGCACGCCTTTCTTTTCCGTTTGAGCCGCTTGGCGTGTGTTAACTTGAACTAAAAACCACCTGTCTCATCGTTTTGACTTGTGGAAACACAGCAGCAACTTCAACAGCTTGCCAACTCCTCCCTTGTGTTAACTTGAACTAATTGACTTGCTTCCCGTTGTTTCGACTGAGCTAAACACTAGCTCCCTGCGCTTGTGTTAGCTTGCGACGCTCTAACACAAGACTGGCCGTAAGTTCGCTCTTCTTGTACCCAAGCCAAACCACTTAAGTTCCCTGCTTCTCATCGTTTTGGCGTTTGTGCTTACGTGCGCCAAAAAGTATTAGCAGCGACTAAGTAACTTGCCTAAACACAAAGCCGCGCTAGACCTACGCTGCCACAGCGTCAGCAGTTTAGTCACTCCCGGCCAGGAGGTTGGGCCCGAGCCCTAAAAAAGACGACCGAAAAAAGTGGGGTAAATTTTCGGTCGCGGTTTTCGCTAACAGTTAAACAGCCAGCCAACTAGTAGGAAAAAAGAAAGGAAAAAAGCACTGAAACTATTGGGGTTTAAAGGGGGTGGCCTCGTGGAAATTCTTGGGCTGTAAGGCGCAGAATGCAAAACAGGGCCCATTTGCAATCCCAGGCTGAGGAGCCAACAAAATCCGCCGAGGATTTTCCACGAAACAGCATGGGGACCCCTACAGAGGACGCGCGCGCCCCCTAGCCTAGGAACGTGGAAGCTGGGGCGCGAGGCAGTTGGCTTTGTGCTTTTGGCTTTCCCGTGGGGCACCAGGTCGCTGAGTCTGTACAGTCGTCCTCGGGCTGACGTCCTCGCCTTGTTGTGGTTTTTAGGGCAACACCCTCACCCACACCACCAAGCCGCTGGGTCTGTTCGGCCGTCCTCGGGCTGACGTCCTCGCCTTGTTGTGGTTTTTCGGGCAGCACCCTCACCCACACCACCAAGCCGCTGAGTCTGTTCGGCCGTCCTCGGGCTGACGTTCTCGCCTTGTTCGTTGGGGGTTTTCGGTCAGCACCTTCACGCAACCAAGTCGCGGAGTTTGTCCAGTCGTCCTCGGGCGGGCGCTCCTGTCTTGTGGTGCTTCGGCTTCCTTGCACTCCTCCGCCGCTAGGCTGTTGAATCTGAGCGGCCCTCCTCGGATTGCCGGTTCTTCTTGCCCGGGTGTGGGGTCGTTTGCTTGTTTCGGAGCCTCAGGAAGTCAGTCAGGTTAGCTCTTTTCTAGGATACTTCTGTCAAGGTCTTTCGCGGGAACCGAAGGGGGGGGGGGTCGCCGTGGTTTTCTTTCAACCCAAGGGGAGTCCGCCGTCGACTTCTTCGCCACCCCGGGGGGGTCTTGTTGTTTTAGCGTAGTGCCAGGAGTAGACTACTAAAAAGGCGGAGGCTGGTAAGCTTTTAAGTAGAAGACGTCCGCGAGGGTTTTCGGTGCTCAGTAGTTTAGTTCGGAGGCCCCTGAGGAACAAGCAGAACAAGCAGAGAGAAGCGAAAGACTTTGCTTTGATGTTGGATCTTGAGAGGCTTGAAAGGGATAGAGTTCGCCGGTGGTAGTTAAAAAGGTAACAAGGAGAAGTTTACACAAGAACAAGAAACAGCAAAAAGCTGGAAAGTACACCATTGAAAGCAAGACAAATCAACATGACAAATCTGAAACTATGGGACAAATTTAGACTATTTTTGACGACGTGGAGAGGTAAAGAAACAAACCTGAATGATGGACCTTGCGTGCACGGCAGTAGCCTAGTTTTTTCCAGCGATAGTGTGGCTCCTGGTGACAAGGGTGACGAGAGTGCGCCTGAACTGTCTGCAGGTGATAATGTCGTCGATGGTGATCCCCCCGATCCTCCCCGGGTGCGGTGAATGGTGATTCGGATGTGTCAGTACCCCCAGAAGTAAATAATCCGTCTTCCCCTTCTCCCGCTAGTAGTAGTAACGATCAGCAAGAAGAAACTCCTGCTGATTCCCCCCCTGGTGTTACGAAGCGTAAGCGCGGTCGTCCGAAAGGTTGTAAAGCAAAAACATGGTGGAAGAAGCCTGGCCCCAAGCCGACTTCTGTAGCAGCATTTTGTAGAGCAAGTGCCCTCTTGTCGTATATGTTGGTAGCAGATAGCTTCGCCTATGCTCAGACAGTAGACGCTATAGACGAAATGCAGAGTAAGCTGCCTGACATTGGTAAAGATGTGCCAGAAATGTGCCAAAAGTACTTTGATGAAACAGAGGATGAGTCCTACTTGTACATAGTAACGGCGACAAGGTCCGAGGCCCACGAAGGTCCCGATGCCGTCAAATGGTTGGAAGCAGACGACAAGGAGCGTTTAGCACTCGAGGCGATGAAGTGCTGGCGACCTTTAGAAGACGGAGAGCTTCAGCCAGGAGATGAGGCCGCGCCTAGTGTGGTCATCTATACTCGTAAGAGGTGTGGTAGGTATAGCGCCCGACTTGTTGCGTTAGGTAATCGGCAGAAAGCGTCGATGTGTGGTGAGATCTATTCCCCAACGATCTCCCACGCCGCTAGCAGAGTGCTTCTTTATGACGCAGCTGCAAAAGGGCACTATGTTGAATTTTTCGACATAGGCAATGCGTTCATTAGTGCAGATCTAGGTGGCGAGAAAGTCATAGCACGACTTCCCAAGCATTGGAGTGACAACCCAAAAGGCGACTTGGTAAGGTTAATGGAGTCTCTGTATGGATTTCGAATCGCCCCCCGAAGGTGGTTCGATTGTTATCGAAAGTGTTTAGAAGAACTTGGTTGGGAGATGTGTCCCCGTGAACCCGGCCCATTTCGAAAAGAAGCCTGCGGTAGTGTCCTCACATTGAGTGTCTATGTTGGCGACAACGTAATCAGTGGTGCGTCTGTTGAAAAGTGAGATGGATAAAATTCTCGCTAAGTACCCCGGTAAGGTGATCGATCCCGATGTAAAAGACAACGGCACTAAAGTTTGGGACATGTTGGGAGCAGTGTTAGAGTCTAGCTCTTCCCGGCGGTGGTGTAAGATTCACACGCGTGAAGCAGTCGATCGTCTATTGCGAAAATTCAACATGGCAGAGTGTCGAGCTGTGTCCTCGCCCGTGTTGTACAGTCCTGAATCCGATACCCCTATGACTGGCGACTTCCCGTTGCGTAGTCTGGTCGGAGGTTTGATGTTTATCGCAGCCCTGTGTAGAGTGGACATAGTATTCGCAGTACAACGCGTGGCCCGTGAAGTGGCTAACCCCACTGAGAACACGAAGAAGCGAGCAAAGCGCATTCTTCAATAGTTAAAAGGTACAAAAGACGTAGGTCTCGAATACTCGCCCGAGATCGAGACTGGCTTCAACAAAGTATACAGAAAGGTAGCGGCGGAAGCTGGTAAAGAGGTAGGCAAGTCAGTTGCGTTCAGCGATTCTGACTTTGCTGGTTGTACAGTAGCCCTGAAGTCAACCAGTGGTAGTATCTTGCACTTTCGCGGAGTTCCCGCTGCGTGGTCCGTCAAACGACAAACAGTCAGAGCGCATAGCACCTGTGAGGCGGAGTATGTCGCTGTGTATGACACTATCAAGATGCGCACGGCCCAGGGCTTTCTTGATTGGTATCTAGAGACAGAAGGCTCAGGAGGTGTCCCACTTGTCTTGTGTTCGTGGATAGTCAGTCTGCTCTAGGTCTCAGTAAGTCTACAGTAACGACGAAGCGATCGAAGCACATCGGTCTTCGGTATCACGCAGTCCGCGACCATGTCAAGGACCTGCGTTATTGTCCAACGGACTTGAACCGAGCAGACCCTCTCACGAAAGGTCTGAGTAGTGTCAAATATCTGCAGCTATTTCGTGCGCAAGACGACGAAAAGTTGAGGTCCGTAGCCAGGGCGCATTTTGTCACTTTCTCGAAGTTGTAATCGAGAGTCGTGTGTAACACTTGGTGTGGGTAGTTTTGTGTGGTGGTCCTTACTTTGGGAGGGGGAATGTCGGCAAGATCAAGATCAACCAAGATCCAGATCGAGTTTGTGACGAATCACCATAAGGATCCACCCGAGTCCCTATGTTGCTGGTTCTGATTTCAGTCGTTCCCGCCTATGTTCCTGGTCCTTCGTATGTTCCTCCCATGGTATGAAGATCCCCACCAGAATGACAAACCGCACCAAGGTCCCAACGGTTCCCAGGTTCCCAGGTTCCCCGAGTAGTTTCACCATCATCATCATCATCATCATCATCATCATCCTAGTAGTAGTCACCATCTTCATGCGTATCCTAGTGGTAATCGTGTCATCTCTCTCACCCGCAGGCTGGTAATGGTGACCCGAGTAATTTCCCTGACTTGCATGCGTGTGGTAGTGGTTTCCAGTGTGTTCATTCTAGTGGTGTAAATGTTTGGTCGGTATTCAGTCGGTGGACATTGCTAACAGTTCATCAAGTGGACAAATATAAGCTATCCACTTTCCTAGTGGTATTAGGTCCGCTGCGTTCCAGTGTCCATGGGGGTCGTCCATGATCTTCAAGCATCAAGCCAAGCACTCAGCTTATTGGTAGGAGGCTCCTGGCTAATCTCGTATGCGGTTGCAATTACTTAACCCGCCGCGCTCCTCAAGTCAGTCGCTGACGTCTAGTGTTCCGCTGTTCCGGGCTTGTGAGTCATTTCACCAACGAGAGCCGGAAGGCATTAGGGTAGCAACTTACATCAGTCAGCCCGTCTCCTTTTAACAGTCTGGCACTTTTTCCATTTCATGAGACAGGAGGAGTCTAGCCATGCTCTTGGCTTCTGTTTTTTTCCAAAACAACGCCGCACATTCATAGTAACAAGGTCATCAGTTAGCATTGTCAGCAACTTGGTCGCACAAGTAGCAGCCTAGTCGCCAAACCACTCACCAACGCCATCGCTTGAAGGCTTTGCGATTCACTCAGTTAAGGCATGTTTTTTCGAAACAGCAACAACGTCGCACCAGCGGAAACCATGGCAGACGAAGCACCAGCGAGGCGATGGCCTTCGCTCGATTGTTACGGTTTTGCGATCGCTCCAAATCCTTGGGGCTCCACGGTTCGAATTATTAGGTTCCTGCGTCCTATTAGCACGCAAGCCCTAGCACTAGCATAGCCTTCTTACCATCTTCACAGAGTTACGATCTTGTCCCAATTTTCTCAAGCAGAAAGCGCCTAGCCTACTAGCCTGGAAGTAGCCTAGAAGTAAAGACTTGGCTCAAGGAGCCTACTGGCCATCTCGTTAGGAGCTAACGGGCCAAGAGCTCACGGCATCAGCATCAAGATGCCCCCGCCAAAGATGAAGAAAGCGACGCCCAAGAGCGCCGCCAAAGGACCACCCCCGAGCGGAGTGGTCAAGAAGATGGAAAAGAGCGGCGCGCACCTGATGGACCTGGTAGCGAAAACGCAAAAGGGAAGCCAGTCGCTTCGCAGTCAGATCGCTGAAGAAGTAACGAAACAGGCTGGGGCAGTCTTGGACGCCCAAGCCGGTCACGACTCGAAAAAAGTGCGACCGTCCTCGCGTGATGAACCCGCGAAACCGTCCGCGCCGGTTGCCAGGGCCGACGAAGGTGGGGGGCAATTCATAGAAGGGACTGAACCGGCCAAGGCCGAGGAAAAACCTGGCGGATTTTACTAGGGGCGGCCGGTGGCTTTTGCGGCTTGGTTCAAGCCACTCCAGGAAGTAAGCAAGTTTGCCACGATTGTACAGCGCTCGAGTTTGTTAATCCAATGCAAGCACGCGGCTGCGGAGTTCGTGGCCTTGCTCGGTGAGCGTGCGGCCGCAATGCAGTCCAAAGGAGAAGCCCGGGCGTGGGCCAAGCAGTGCGAGCTTCTCCTGGAAAGTTGGGAGCAGAAGCACGAAGGTGAGGCCGCTCTCTGGTCGAAGCTCTCCACTTTCACCAAGCTGCCGGCAGAATCCCACGCAGAACTCTCCGAGAGGTTCAAGCAGCTGGCAAACCAACTGCCAGGCTCTACCCACTCCGCTGCGGGGCGGGTTGCCGTCTTCGAAGCAAAATGCCCGAAGGTCTTGGAGGTGCGACCGATCGGCGAGTCCTGCACCACATGGGAACAAGTTCAGCCCGCTTGCTTGAAGCTCTAAGAAAAGGGCAGACTCGTCCCGCGATCCTCCTCTTCTACGGATCCGCCTCCAAGTCAAAGCCCTGCTCCTCATCCCAGTCCATTGCTGTGCGTGCAGGCAAGCAACTGGAAACAAGGCGGAAAGCACGGCAAAGAGGGCAGCTGGAAACCTGGCGAAGCAAAGCGTACAGAAATCAGGTAAGCCCTCGGCCCATAAGGGTTCCTACAAGGGCAAGGGAAAAGGCCACCAGAAAGGCAGGGACCAACCTGGAGGCTTTCGCCCGGAACGCCGCTACAGCGTTGCCTCCAGTCCTTGCGGTCCAGTCTACCCCCACGCAGGTGCCCCTTCTTCTTCGCCAGGGGTCTCCAGTCCTAGCCGGCAAAACATAAACGGTCCCACTTGGCACAACGTCAGCGGGGACGGCCGTCCGAAGTGGGGGCCTATCGGTCTCCAAGAAGCACGCGAACAACAACAACAACAACAACAGCAGCAGCAACAACTTCAGCAACAACACAAAGGCGGGCCTTTTGGCTCTAGACTAGTAGCTCTTTTTCAAAAGTTGGCTCTAGTGCTGTCGCGGTTGTCTTCCGCGCAAGTTTCCAAAGCAGCCGACTGGGTGGCCGGTAGTGGAGCTGCTCGCCAGCTGACTAGTTTGCCCGTTTCCAATCCCAAGACGGTGGGCATCAAGTTAACGCCGGCTAGTGGCTTGACCGAAATCACGGAGGCCGGGCCTCGTCAGTTGGCGCCTGGGTGGCGTGCAGGCTGATGAAGTTTGTCATTGGCTTCACGCGCCAGCTAACACGTTGGCAGTCAGTCGACTGATGTCGCGCGGCATCGTCCCCACCTTCTTGACGATGTGCCTCGAAGGGCATCGCAGTGGCAAAGCTGTGGGGATCTTGCCCTTCGAGAAAAGGCGCGAAGCCTCTGCGCTAGTTTGTCAAGGTACTACTACGAAACTACTTACTTTAGATTCTGACTCGTTTAGTTTTCATTCTCCTCCTAGTTATCAGCCCACTAGTCTCAGGCGAGTTTCTCAAGCAGAAACCCACCCAGTTAAACCACCAAAAAAGCACAAACCAAGCGAACTGGCTAGCATGCTACTGCCACTAGCCGCTGCCGCCATGGAGTCGATAGCCGAAGCCGCAAGCTCTATAGCTTGCCGCTCTTACCGGAAGCATTTGGGCGCTGTGGAGACAGAGCACCACAGAACCCAAGCACCACCAACACGCAAGAGGGCCCGCAGTCGAGTCCCTAGCAAACAACCTAAATCGACTCAAGAAGGAAAGCCTTCTGCGCGTGCGTTCTGGCGGAATCGATGGGCGTCATTTGCGTCACCGGGTCGCCCTTGGCACGTTCTTCGCTCCCTTATCCACAGGGAGGCTATGCGCGTTGCATGTTGTCAGCTTTTTCGCGCGTTTCAGTGTTATCCACGTTCTGCCGCGCAATGTGGGCGCACCCTCTGCCAGGCGCGTCAGATCATTGACTTGGCTGAGCAGTTCCGCGCTCGTGGTATGTTCTCGCAATTCTTCTTACTTGGTGGCGGAAGTAAATTCGTTAGCTTCTCGCCCCTCAACTGGTTACTGTTGCACTGCTGTCGCCTTGTTATTACTCCACGCGCATCGCCGTGGGCTAGTGGAGTGATCGAGCGGCGACGCCGAACCATAGAGCAGACCTTCCATCGGTTGGCCTCGATTTATGGAGATGCCCACGCTGTGCAAATTCTGCACGCAGCGGCTAGCGCTGCCGATGAAGGCCCGAAAGCCATACGCGAAGGGCTGTCGCCTCATCAGTCCCCGTTCGCATCTTCCCCGGCATTCATGACGCCCGAAGAGCCTGGGCACATGAATGAGGTCGAGCCCAATCGGCTTTCGCTTGCTACTTCGCAACCAGATAGCACGGATAGACTTCGGCGCGGTGCTTGCTCTATCCTTGGGCGACTTCGGTGCGATAAAGTCTTCGCCGAAGAAGTCAAGAGCCTCGCCCAGCAGCAACGCTAATTCTGCCACGAGTCTGGCTCTAGAAGTTGGAAGCGCAACGGAGTGGCCCGGCTAGGATTCGCCGGCCTGGTACGGTCCAGCCAAGTTGACTTATTTCCAAGAAAATGAGAACGCAAAAACGCCCGACATTGATGATTCTGGTAGATGCAAGCGCATCCGCCACGGTCACACTTTTCACACTGGAAAACCTAAAATTTCACAAAATTTTCAGTTATATCTCATCTTTGTCGAATTCAATTCCTGACGTTCGCAAAGAATCAGGTAAGACTTCTCCAATTCTTTGCTTCTCTTGGGTACCAGTAGATGCATGACTATTTTTCATCCTTTCAGGCCGATGCTGCCCATTGTGGCAAGGTGTATACCTGTACTGTTTTCCCACTGTATTCTCCTTTCTTGCGTGTAAAGGAACTGGAAAGTAGTGCTTAATGTGAAAAAAGCTGTGCTGGAGCAGCCTTGGATATATAGCAGCATCTATCATAAGGTACTTAGAAAGTCGCGTTGTGTCGTGGAGTTCTACTCCGTGATGTCGATCCTGTACGATGTAAAAGATCTCACATACTCGCTGTTGTACTCTATCTTTTGAGCACGATCGCCGTCTCTTGCTCTTCATGCCATGGGCGATGGGTCGTCTCACGTCCTTGAGGAACTGACGAAGCCACTTCTCAAGCGGTTACATTATGATTTGGCTAATTTGGAATTCGAGCTATTGTCTCCTGTATTTCTTCTCATAAGCTGTTAGACCAACAAGAGCAAGCTTTTTTATTTTTGCCCACCCTTACTTGACCTTACTTCCAGGTTTGACGTGACGGCCCCGAGAAAATCCGGGAAAGTCCAGCGTCGGTTTTGAAGACGCTACTCGAACATGCACCGAAAGTCGACCACAGTTCTCTCCAGTTCATCGTGTCCATATTGTTATGGTGATGGAGGATCTTGTTGTCTTGATTGTTCAACGTACTAGTCCAATTGATCATTGAAGCTTCTGGCTCATTGCTTGAAGGTTGTATTTTGATGTTACACCTCCTCTACCTTTTTTACGTTTTCCTAGATGGGTACAGCGACAACATTGCACTTGAATCTTGAGAGTACAACTTCTCAACGCGAGCAAGGATTTTCACCTTGCAAGCGAAACATGGCTTCAACAAAACTTGTTCCATACTTTGTGGTCTAATTTCTGTTTACAGATTGGGATCCGAAGACGTAGACGGCATTTGTTTTTGCGGCATGAGAGGAGACTATTCTGAGGGGCGAAAAAGAAGCTGCATTAGTTAGATGAAGGCTTGTTCCCTCCACACCCACAACGAACAACTGAGAGAGTATTCCAACGCCAGGTATGGGGTTGTATTGACGAGCTGACCGGTCTACTACGAGCACTTCTTATGGGTTCTTACGCTGGCGTCAAGATGATTGTATGTGAGACGATGGCGCCCTTCTTATGAAAGAACAAAATCAATGTTCTTGACTTGTCGATATTCATGCTTGCAGTACACGTCATGCAGCCATTTTATGATCTTGTGGTGCCTCCATTTGGATATCGACGACAACCATTTAGACTATAGAACAACAACATCCCACACCCCTGCTTTCGTACCTTTGTTACAACCACGAAGACGCTCTCCTGCACTTTACGGAGCCCATGGGACGCAGCATTACGAGCTGTCTGGTCCACAATCACTTTCGTTGCAGGCACACTCACCTATGTAGCTAGATTGTTGGAGATTGTTGACCTTACTACATAGTAGTTCACAGTGACGAGTTTTTGTATAGTGTCTTCAAGTCGAGCTTGTTTTAGTGTCTTCAAGTCGAGCTTGTTTTTCACGACTGCAAAAGCCGCAAATCTTGATAGTCTTCAGAAGAGGTCCAGCATCTCGCTGGTTGGCAAGATCCGAATCAAGAGCAAATCAAAAGCTTCGACGAGTCGCATATTGCCGTAAACTACTTCCCCTCTCTCACCTTTGACCGGCATCCAGTAGTTAAGGCAACAGCAAGCTCACTGGACTACAACAAGATTGAGAGACTACATGGAGGAACGAACGCTCCACGTTGGTGGTTAATTGATCTCTGAAGTAAAGTCTCCTTGCTAGTTATTTCATTTTTGTGGTAGGCGGTGGAGGTAGTTATTTTCCTACGAGAGAACCGCCGGTGGAGGTAATATATACTCGCGTCAAACTACTGCATAG